TATAGCCCCGTTTTCTATTATTTCAATAATAAATGTAAAAAAAAAAAAAGAAAAAAAAAAAAAAAAAAACAAATCATTTATTAATGTTATGTTTCAAAATAAAATGAAAATTATTTCTTTTGCTAACACGCTAACAATATTTATATTATTGACGGTAGGAACGCGGTACATTTTTAATAAAACAAATATTTGAAGTCAAACGTACTTCTTTAAATATTATGAGCATTTTTTATGCCAAAAATCTACCTCTGATTTTCAAACTGTTATATTTTAAATAAAAAAAAAAAATGTTTATTTATTTAGTACATTTTTGATGTAATTTTTCGATTTTCGTTGTAATTTTCGTAATAATTAAGAAAAACTATAAAAAAAAAATTCTTAGGAAAATCAGTAAAATAGGAGTTTTTTTTTTTCGATTAAAAATAACCGTGGAAACCAGAAATTATGACAGAATAAGCAAATTAACTTTTTTTAGACGCGGTTAAATTACCAAAACATTCCGGTGATTTTTGAGTTGTAAATAGACATTTTACATTTTCGATATTTATATAAACTCACTTTGATTAGCAGAAATGTTTGAAAATTGTACGGGAGGTAGGTAAGTTTACTTTGTGACAAAATACAAATGTCGACGCAATTTAATTGTGGGTTTTTTTTTTTTTTTATATATATAAGCTTTTATATAAGTTCGAATTCTGACGAAAATCTTAAAGGCCCCGTGTCGGAACATGTTTAACCGAGCTTTACTCGAAATCGTATATTTCGTTGGCAACTATTTATCGTAACGTACTGACCGTACTAACCGTATCGTAACTAACGTACAGATACAAATTAAATCGCTCTGTGCACCCTGGCTTCCCGATAGTCGTCACTTGTCACCCACAACAGCGGTACACGGTATCGGTACTTTTATCAAATGAATTTACACAGTTAATCTGTTTCGTAAAGCATTATAATATACTTACCAATCATCCGCCATGCATTCAGACGCAAACATAATTACAAATATCGTTCGAAATGTTATAACCAACAGAGCTTTTACGCGCGCGAGTGCGTCATACAATTTACGAGATACCGTAAAATACAATAATTATTATTATAACCAGGTCGCGGGATATGTTTATCGCGATGAGAGTATTATAATATAGGCTTTTGAATGCGAACGGCAAACGGCACAATAATATACAAATGACCCGATGAGGAGGAAGAGATACGGTTGTTTTTGGAGAGTTGGTTTTTATGGTCACTAAATAACGCTGTCCCGCGGGGGACGCATCGCCGGTGCAGTTAACTTTATACTGGCCGGAAACACGGACTGCCGGAGAAATTTTTATTGGCCCTGGTCGGCCTGAAAACTATTAACACGACCGCGTGTCATTTTTTTCTCTTCCCGGCGACGCGACGGTCGTCCTAGTTTATTTTTATTTTTTCCAGACGACGACGAAGAGCGATAGGAACGGTTTGATACGCATACAGTTTTACTGTACGATGTGCGCTTTTTGTTTCCGTATGTGCGCGAGTTTTCGCATTATCGTCCGATCGCTATCAACTTTTCTGCAGGGGTAGCGAATTTCGTCTGGTCGTTGTGCATTCGTGCGTGTTTTAATGTATTTATAGATATCAGAAATTGTTTTAGATTTATTTATTTTTATTTATTTTTTTTTTTTTTTTTTTTGTACGACGACAATGGTATACAAATATCGCGATTCTCTCGTTATATTTTTTTTTTTTTTTATAAGGGTTCAAAGTTCGGATTTTGATGAAAATCATAAAAATCACAAACATTTTATTTTGTTTCGAATTACCAATTTCATTCTGTCGTTTTTTTTTTTTTTTTTTTTTTTTTGTGAACACTATTATTCTACGTGCAATGCTATTTTATTATGGATGCCAGCGAGAATATTTTGGAATTAACGGGCAGGCTTTACACAATGCATATAATATACAATATACATATATGTAGATTATAATATTAACTCACTCAATTTCTGAGGCATCCGATATATTACACAACAGCCATCACCGCGAGCAAATATTACATTATTATAACTTGCAGCCAGGTATGGTGTTAATTTATTGTTTGCGAACAAAATGAAAACTTCGTCATTTTCCGTTATTACTGTTGACTGCGTTGTTTGGCTTGATAAGGGTATTTTGGTACACCGCACGCGTTTATAACAATGCATAAGCGTTTAATAGTTTCGGTGTTAATTTGTTATAAAAAAAACTAGTAAGTTTTGTGTCGAGTCCGTTGATGGTGGTGGTTGGCCGAACGCAGTATAAATCCCGACCGCGGGAAAAGCACAAAAACGCCTACACGAATAGCGCGGTAAAAAAAAAAAAAAAAAAAACTCCGGTAAAAAAGATATTACTTACTTAAAATGATTAAAACGTTTAAAATAAATACATTTCTTGGAAATTTCTCGTCAGTCATTTAGCTTACAACGAAAGCGTAAAGACGGATTTTCGCGAATTTTTTCATCTCGCTTGAACGAGAATTTAAGATATTTTTAATTCAGCACCTCGCTGATTTGTCGGTCACAAAGGGGTTGGAAAAAATAATCAATTAGAGTAGTTTCAATGTTGATCGAGTTAAATTTAATAATTACTATAGCAATTAGCACGGTTATTCAATAAACATTAATGTTATGGTTACACAGATATTTATTATTTTCCGAGAAATGAAAAATAAAAATATTTGAAATTAACTCGAAACATATTGAAACTTCTCCCTTTGGAATTCGTTCGGTCCCTTTGTAGTACGTCGAGGGGTTGAGTCGTAGTAATTAAATTTGAAACAAATACGTATCTTCTCGTGCAATAGACCAATTAGCAGTGTATACAATTAAATATATCATAATTTCTCGTTTAAATGCTTCCGTGCTATTAACACGTTTGAAAGTCATTTAGTCGATACGTTCTCGTTAGAAATTTGTTTTTCGAACGCCATGTCAGAATGCAAATCTATTTCGTAAATCGCCCACACTTGTTTTCATTGTATATCGTTTAATTATAATACATGTATACTATCACATTACCGTATTATCTTAGTAAACAAATCGAAATCGTGAAAAAAAAAAAAAACCAACTTATTAATATTTTTGTTTTTGTTTTCAGACAAGACTACGGCAATCGGAGAGGTTCACGGGTAATTTTATTTTACGATAGTATATTTATACGAGTAGATATAGGTACCTGTATAAAATAACATAACAAAATAAAAAAAAAAAAAAAAAAAAAAAAAAAAAAACAGAATATTAAAAATAACGATCGAAAAAAGAAGTGCCAAAACTGTTGTTTATTGTTATTTACAGTCGAAAAAAACACGTACNTGTATACTATCACATTACCGTATTATCTTAGTAAACAAATCGAAATCGTGAAAAAAAAAAAAAACAGAATATTAAAAATAACGATCGAAAAAAGAAGTGCCAAAACTGTTGTTTATTGTTATTTACAGTCGAAAAAAACACGTACAATCGCATGTTAGTACAAATACCATAAAAATCGTTCTAATAGCTTGGGTATTGTTTTGTTCAACGATATCGACCGTCGTGTTAAAATATTCGCCTAACACACAAAATTTCATACTGTACAGATGGTAACACGAAATGTTTAGGTCGGGTGTGTAGAGTCTTACTACTCGGATTGTAACGGGAGTTTTTAAGGAAGATAATGGGTTCCATCACAAACATTTTCAACAGCCAATTTCCAAATGTGTAACCCTTTCGTGCATGCACAATAAAATTAACTTTTTCTTAAACGCTATTATCCATTTTTAACGCCAGTATACGATATCAATATATTACCACCATTGAATAATATATCGCAAATATTCTGCGATTGAATAAAAAACTGTTTCACATAGGGTTGCTTGTTAAGCGCGCACACGTGAAGTTAAAAAATGTGTACTAGTGACAGTGTGATCCAGAATTTATGTAATTCGCGAGTATTTACACGAGAATCCCGTGAATTAAAACGTGAATATTCATTAGTTAAGTAAATATCCGTGTACCGTGACTTAGATACCCGGGTGCAATAAAACACGTGTTTAATCGAGACTTCTCGTGTACCCTATCGCAGAATAATATTATAACAATAGTTGAACATATCTATGATAATTCTTTTGCTCGACAATTACTATTAAGTACACCTGATTTGTCCATTTTTCTCCGTCCATCCATCCACCAATCACATCTTAAAATGTCCCAAGGTCCGTTCAATATATATTTACAGCCTGTGACCGAAAATCATTACTATTTTTTCTTTCTTTTTGTATCTGTAAACAACTTTTCTACCAGGAATCTTGCTCGAATCAAATACAACAACAGATTTTTTTATTTTATTTTGGATTTAGATAATTAATAAAGTCGCGTTTTGATTTTCCAACAAGTTTCCATAATAATTCGTAAAACTCAGAAAAATATGTAAAATATAAATGGCCAAATGTAAAAAATGTCTTTAATTTACATTTTTCTAATTTTTTTTTTCTACCAGAAAAATTATTCCAAAAAATCAAGTTACACATTTTCCAAAAGAAAATGTTGTCTAGTTTGTGATTATGAGAGCTGTTTTTAATTCGTGTAATTTTTCGAATAATATGATAAAATCCAGAATAACACAGAAAAAACTGAAATAAAGTGGTCAATATTATTTAAAATTTTGATTTTGAGTGTTTATTTGATTAAAGATATTTGTGAAGAGCAGAAATATTCATAGAACGCGTCAACATTTTTCTAGCTGTTTGTTATTTAAGGCGATTTTTAAGCTATTAATAGGCATTTTAAATTCTTTAGTTTTTTTTCTTTTTCTTAGTGCTTATTTGATATTTTGTAGATAAAATTGTTTTAGCGAGCCGAAATGATTGAAAATGAGTTTTAATAACAAACTTGTATGGAAATCGTAAAACCTGAGACATTACTAAACGCAAATAATTGAACTTTCCGATTACAATTAACGTAATTGACTAGCGTTAGTTTATTGTTGCTTACAGGTGTAAATTAAATAACTTTATGTATCCCACATTCCCAACTTTTTAATATTTTAATGACAAAACATTTCCACCTAGTCGTTCTGTGTAAGCGTTATAATGGAAAAGTTTTCTAGGTAGTTTTCAACTTATAACTATCATCATAGGCGTGAGCAGACCTTGCTGACAGGGAGACTGAATAAATATACATACATATATATACATTAGCCCATAAGATGTGCAGCTGCCTACCTTGTTCCTCCCGTGTGCACGCCTATCACTATCATTAGCGAGTTGAACGATATTACATAAAATTTATACATCAATTCAAAATCGTGCAATTTCAGAAACGTATGGTGAAATGAACCAGATTTTAACGGGAATTTACTAAATAGAAATTTCTCATAAAATGTTTCCCCGGAATTCGAAATATAACATGGATTTTAATATTGCTACGAAATTCGGTACCTTTATAAATTGTCAATTTACATCGTCTCTTCTATATCCTGTCAAAAATACATAAATAGCGGCACAAAGAAAACGTGACTAATAAAGTATTCTTTTCGAATGTAAAATTACACAATATAAAGAACTAAAACGTAAATAGAATATGTAATAATTTTTGTTGTAACCTTAAACTATACGAGTATACATTTCTGTACTGTATCTGCAGCATAAAACGAAAAATTGATAATTTATGCGGCACTATTTTTTTTTTTTTTTTTGCCCATTTAATGGGTCGTCGAGATGTAATGGTACACACAGTTGATAGTCAAATTGTAGCCACGGCGACCCGCATTAACACCAACGTCGAAAAATATAACGTGCTAAGTGCTACAGTGCTAAGCAAGTTTATGCAAAATTGAAAACCCATAGGCGTAGCCAGAGCGGTCATATGATATGCTTCTGTATATCCTGCATTCTCCATATCCTTCTTTTCACAGCGCACTATAAACCGAACTTTATCGAAATGTTTAAAAGTGTCGAAAATATTCGGATATCAATAATATGAACGATACGAACTTGGATTTTAATGCATTTTAAATTTTTTATCGACTAATCGAGTTTATTACTAAGTAAATTAGTTTTAAATTAGTCTCGTGAAAGTTCGCAGATTAAATATTCAACTTTTTTTTTTTTTTTTTTTTTGGAACGACTTTTTAAATTTTATTTAAATATTGTTACATCATAGTATTTTCGTATCAATTATAGTTCTATTATTTACTGTCTCAACATTTTGTTTTACTCTACGTTGTATTATGTTTTTAATCCGTATTGAAAACTAACTTATAACGTAGCTACTAATCATATATCCATCAGAAAGTATAATAATACCGGATTCCTAACACTATGAATCGTATACCATATTATATGAGAACAAAATCACGAATTGGACAAATAATTATAAATATTATGGTAAAACCGAATTTTAGATTCTGAGCGACATAACTACAGTGCAATTTTTCTATCAGTAATTAACTATTCAATTCGCATAAATCTTGTTCCAAGCATCGAATTCACTCGTCGTTTCTGTTATAAAATATTGTCTTAATAGTTGTTGCAAATCGGGCAGGGATTTTTTCTGATTTTTCACGTAACGTTGCTGGGGGGGGGGGAAGTAACGGAGGAAAGATAATTGTAAAAAAACGTGAATATTTATACGCAATGATATTTTCAGTTAGTTTCAATTTTGTTGTTTTATAAAAAGGTGTAGGAGAAACATTGGCCTATAATAATACTGCTGTATTGAAGAAAACTAGAATTTTTCCTATCGAGATTTTTTTCAACAGTTTCTGAACAGAAAAATCGTATTAATGGTGGTGACGTATACTGCGAATTTGCAGACGCCCGACAGGATCGCGGGAATTCGGCTTATTTCGAATGGGCTGACGGTAGTGGAGAGGATTTCTGATACATAATATATTTATTTATAATATATAAATATATAAAAGTACTAAAATATTCGAATATAACAGAGAGAAAAACGCACTGAAACGAACGAAGAAACAAATAATTGAATATTATACAAAATATTTGTATTATTATTGTATTCCCGTGTTTTTCAGTTTCTGCGATATTTCCAGTCTCTTTAATTTCGATTATTTTTAACCGAAGTGCAACAAACAAATTCGAACATAAAAGAAACAGTTATTGCTTTCATTTTCCCGTGTACCCTATACGGTTTTTATCCCCGGCAATTCCCATTTATTAAGTAAACTAACGAAATATTAAAATAACCTTTTTAACATACTTACCAGATGCAATTTTTTACCAGTTAACAACCCTGAAGTAGATAATCGTAACAAGATCTAGTAGTAAAGTTGTTAACAGACACAAAAATACACATCATAGTAATCACGCATTCCTCGCTACACACAAAATCTAAAACAATGGTACTATCAAACCTTCGGGTACTGATTTGTATAATAACATGTTAATTTGTTAATACATACAAAATGTTTCAATAGGAAAACGCAAAAATTCGTATGCCTCGACAAATTTCAATAGTGTTATTAATATAATAGCTGATTGTTCATTGTATTTTATATAGTGTACCGGTAAGAATAAAAATGGAAACGAAACCAATTTTGGACTTATCAAACTTTAATAATTTTTAATAATCCGATTTAAATATTAAGTGAAATAAAGTTTAAAACTAGATAGGCAGGTTCTTCGGGAAAAGGAAAGTATAAAACTTTTATAAACGTAGTGATGTACCTTGGGTAAATATCCAAATACCAGATAAATATTTTAGGCGAATATCCAAAAGTACAGTTATAAGTATGTTTATTTTGGGGAAATATATTTAATTTTTTATTATATCTGGACAAACTGACTATTTTAATTAATATCGGAATGTATAATGAATAGATATTATTTTGTATTTGTTTAATGGCAATGTTTGCTCCAATCAAAAAACGACAAGATTACGGTACAGAATTTGGGATTTAGTTGTTGAATTTCGGATATCAGTTTTTGATTTTCCGTGCAATTTCCATTATAATTGATAAAGCCGGAACAGAAAACTGTTGAAGAAACAGATAAATTTAGACGATGAAGGTTTTATTAAAATATATTCATTTTTATAAGCGTTAGAAGTTCAAAACTCGACGAAAATCCTACAGATCACTGCATTTGCAGTCTGCGGACTTCAATCGGAATCGCTTCTCGCCCGCAATGGTTAATCGTTATGCACAGATATAAACTAAACAAATGTATACGTATCCTTTCCGGATTTCCATCATATGCAACAGTGGTAGACACATCGGCCACCAATTGTTATTTTTATTTTTATTTTTTTATAATTTTTTTTTGTTC